GTTCACTTTGAAGTTGTAGTGGTTAATTGCCTAAATGCATTGGCAATTATTTCCACATCAAAATATCAAAAGTATCAAAGCCAAAAGTATATGGCTAGCACCCGCCACATCTGTTCCAAATTCCTTTTCATATTATATTCATATTTCAACATATTGATAAATATATTTTATAGTATTTAACTTAAATATAGCAGCTATATTAAAGATCCTAAGTGTACATATATATTTTATTCTGCCACGGTAGGTGAAAATAGCACTACACTACAACTGCACTGCACAGCTTTAGGATACTCTACCAATCATTCAATAGGCTTGTTTTATTTCAATAGTTTTGTATTTCTGAATCGTTCTGTACATCTGTATTCTATGCGATATGTATGCGCAAAAAGGTGTAGAACTGATCAAAACTACAAAAAACTCTTGATCCAAAACTAGTTTAATAGTTAATTCATTGTAGATCAAATGTATCGTTTTAAGTATGGCATAGTTTTAATAATACGTTTAGACAAGAAACAACTAAACCATTTGAAAAGAACATCGATGCTTTTCAAATGATTCATTGATTATATTAATGTTGCTTAACATGTATCATATGATAAGTTACATCAGGGAATTTGCTATTTTTGCTATCTCTAAACAAAACTTATCTGACTTGTTGTGAAAATATGCCACAATATTTTTCGTTGTGTAATCACATCCATAAGGTTGTTGGCACTTGTAAACTCTTTGAAAAATTATAAGAATTTCCAACCATCGATTTAAATTTCACAACAAGCATGGAATTATGGAGTAAGTTCGTAAGAAGAAATCTATTCTCGTGATATCCCAGGGATTCGGAAAAAAGGTGTCAAAGAAAATGATAATTATTCTTCTGAATCGTTCTGTACATCTGTATTATATGCGATATGTATGCGCAAAAAGGTTTAGAACTGATCAAAACTACAAAAAACTCTTCATTAAAAACTGGTCTAATAGTTAATTCAATGTAAATCACATGTATCGTTTTAAGTATGGCATAGTTTTAATAATATGTTTAGACAAGAAACAACTAAACCATTTGAAAAGAACATCGATGCTTTTCAAATGATCCATTGAGTATATCAATGTTGCTTACCATGTATCATATGATAAGTAACATCAGCGAATTTTGCTATTTTTGCTATCTCTAAGCAAAACATATCTGACATGTGAAAATATGCCAGAATATTTTTCGTTGTGTAATCCCATCCATAAGGTTGTTGGCACTTGTAAACTCTTTGAAAAATTATAATAATTTCCAACCATCGATTTTGATTCCACAACAAGCATGGAATTATGGAGTAAGTTCGTAAGAAGAAATCTATTCTCGTGATATCCCAGGGATTCGGCAAAATGTGTCAAAGAAAATGATAATTATTCTTCTGAATCCTTCTGTACATCGGTATTCTATGCGATATGTATGCGCAAAAAGGTTTAGAACTGATCAAAACTACAAAAAACTCTTGATCCAAAACTGGTCTAATAGTTAATTCAATGTAGATCACATGTATCGTTTTAAGTATGGCATAGTTTTAATAATACGTTTAGACAAGAAACAACTAAACCATTTGAAAAGAACATCGATACTTTTCAAATGATCCCTTGAGTATATCAATGTTGCTTACCATGTATCATATGATAAGTAACATCAGCGAATTTGCTATTTTTGCTATCCCTCTATAGTAATATATTCCCTTGTTCAATTAGATATATTTCGAAGAAAGCTTTATTTTTAGCTAAATTGTTGATTTCTATGCATCTGGGAGAAAAAGTATAAAAGAGTATGTATATTTGTTTGTACGACTTATATTTATCCAACTAAATGCGGGAATATAAGAGAGTATGGAGTAAAAACCGTTTCCATTATTTTAGCTGATATCTTCATTATCTTTAATGATTAACTCTTTATCTATTAATATACTTTTATTATTGTACTATTATGATAAAAAATTAGAAATACTCAAACATTTATAACAAAATCAAATGAATTAATTTATTGGTAGAATGAATGTTATCGAAATAAAGAAAAAAATTTTTTTTTAAATTGTATCAGACCTTATCTGACATTTCAAATGGTGATTAATTAGAAAAAATTAAAATACTTCTTGTACTTGCTGTTTAAATATTTATTGAAACCGGTTTCGAAGTATTACTTCATCATCAGTCAAAACCTTAATTAAATGAAACAACAAACCAAAATTAAAATCATCGTAATTAAACAAATTTACTATTAACTCACGTCAAGTCCTTAAAAAATGTAAAACCTCATAGAACAACACACCTGTTGAAAACAAACAATCAACTAACAAAACATCACTAAGAAAATAACGAAGCAAAATCTTATAGTTAACACGTTACAAATTTGTCATGAGACAAAATGGAATCTAAAACTTACTTAACAGAAAATTCGACAAATACCGGTTATGAGTATAAGAGAGATAAAACTACGTTATGTTAAATTTAAATTGCTCACAAAACAAAATGAAAATCTGTAAACAATTTCTTAATAAAAATGAAAAATAAAAGATTAGCTATTAAAACATTTTTTAGGTATATATTTGTAAAGAGGGGTGTAGAAAATTTCGACTTGTTCATTAAGAAGATCAATGTAATTGTTTTTACTATGTTTATCAATCTCAAAAGAGTCTAATAAATCAAGTTTAAACCCTTTATCACACCTATGCAATAGTTTCACCCCTTCGAAATCCATACTATGTCCAGTCTCTTTGATGTGTTTGAAAATATTAGAATTGGGTTTATTTTTATGTTCATGTAATCGTATATCTAGTCTTCGCCCAGTTTGTCCGATATATACACTATTGTAATCATTGCAGTTGATCTTATAAACACCATTATCATGAGAAATTTCTTTATTATCATTATGATGGTGATTGGATAGCAAATTAACTATGGAATTCCTATTACTATATGCTAAAGTCACATTATATTTAGAAAATAAACTTTGAGCCTTTTGAGTCAAACTATTATAAGAAACATGTTTATATAAATTGTTTTTTAAATTTTGTATATAGAGGATCCTTTGTTTGTTGTATCTTGGCTAAACGCTTATTAAGTGTTTTGTATGTGTATTTATTTTGTTTACCTAGATTAAAAATATGTGACCTGGACTACGAAAAGGGAGTTTATGTGCAAAAATTTAATTTTATTTCTACGAAAAAAAAATCTAAAATTAAATTTTACATTTCTAATTTAAAGACATTAAACTTTCGATGCAAATAACTCAGCCGCGAAGATAGTTGCGAAGCTGAGGTTAAGTTCATTGAAAAGACCGCACTTTACACTATTAGAAGCTTCAAAATCTCAAAATCGACCTCTTGACACCTAAAGCCCCTTTCCATAGTCCAGGTCACATATAGTTTAATTCTTTGATTCTATTTTCATGTGATAAAGGGTAATCCAGTATTCTATTAAAAAAGAAACGAAAACTTGCCATTTTTTGGGAAAATGGGTGTGCTGAATTAAAGGGAATAACAGTTGAAATTGTGGTTTGTTTTCTATAAATGTCATAGGTTATTGTATCTTTTACATTGATCAGTTTCAGATCTAGAAAAGTAATTTCCTTATTATTCTCGACCTCCAGAGTAAATTTTAATTTATCTTGTATGTTGTTGATATATGTATGAAGCTTATTTAAATCAGTATTATTACCTTCCCATACCATAAAAATGTCATCAACATAACGAACTCATTTTGTGATATTATTTACAAAAGGATTAAGGTTTGAAAAAATATAGTTGTTTTCAACATAATCCAGATATATGTCAGCCAGGATACCTGACAAAGGCATTCCCATCGGCAGTCCATCTTTAATCTTATACACATTATTGTTGAATTTACAAAAATTCATAGTGACTATATGTTTCAGAATAGTGTCTAGTTGAGTTGTTAAATGTTTATCTTTGAAATGTTCTTTGAATATTTTACTGGTCAAATTCAGGGTGATGTCTATGGGTACATTTGAATATAGGTTTGTCACGTCAAATGACAGCATGATTTTATTCTTTAGATCAAGGTGTTTGGTATTTTGGATAAATTCTTTCGAATTAAAAACGGTATATTTAGGTTGGAAGTTTATTTTTTGAAACACACCAAGCATGAATTTGGCTAACTTCGATGTGGGTGAATTATTGAAGGCTGTTATAGGTCTTATTGGAATTTCTATTTTGTGTAGCTTTGGTAAGGAATATAATTTAGGAAGATCAGGGTTCATGCTTATGAAATTCATACTGAAGAAATTGTTTATACGTTTCTGTTGTAAATGAGGGGTAAATTCGATAAGAGCATCTTTATTACCGTTAATAATTTCTTTCGTTTTTCTGACGATTGAATCTAACGGATCCTTGTTCAATTTTTCATAGTTATTATTATTCATAAAATGTTCCGTTTTTTGTATATATGATTCTTTTTCGATAATTACAATACCTGCACCTTTATCTGCTTTAACGAACACAGCATTATTTTGTTCTATTTTGTTTTTAATTGATTTAATTATTTTTTTATATTTAATTTGCAAAGGGTATAATGGTGTTTTTATTTTTTCTTGTTTTTTTAAGAAAGAGATTAAATCACTTCTGATGTCAGTATAGTCTGGTAGTTTTTTGATTATTGTATCGAAATCTATGGTTAATAATGGAAAATTGACTGTGACCCTTATTTAAAAAGTTTTCTTCTTCTTTCGTAAACAAGATGTTAGTTATATTCTTGAATTGTATATAATCTTTTTCTTTACCCTTCTCTTCGTCATGGAATGTTCCCAAAACTTTTTCTTTTCTGTACTTGTTCGTTCTTAAATTATTAATCTTCTTATTCTTTTTGTTGCGATCATCTCTCTTCTCTATACACAGGAAAAAATATAGAGTAAAAATCAACTCTAAAACATGGTTCAGATCGGTCCAANCTCCTGATGTCAGTATAATCTGGTAGTTTTTTGATTATTGTATCGAAATCTATGGTTAATAAAGGAAAATTGATTGTGGGGTTTATTGCAAATTTATGACCCTTATTTAAAAAACTTTCTTCCTCTTTCGTAAACAAGATGTTAGTTAGATTCTTGAATTGTATGTGATCTTTTTCTTCACCCTTCCATTCGTCATGGAATGTTCCCAAAACTTTTTCTTTTCTGTACTTGTTCGTTCTTAAATTATTAATCTTCTTATTCTTTTTGTTGCGATCATCTCTCTTCTCTATATATGCCTACTTCCGTGCCTCTTGAATTAGACATTCTAATTCGATGTAATGTAACATTTCTCTAAGTGTTCTATGTAATTTAGCCAATTTTTCTTCTTGAAAATTGAGTTTCCTATAATGTTGACGCTTTTCGTTCTTTAATAGTTTTTCTTCAGTCTGTTGTCTCGCGTGGTTTGAAAGTTTTTCGCATTTGAATTTAATTGTTGAGTATTTAACGTGTTAACTATAAGATTTTGTTTCGACATTTATGTAGTGATACTTTGTTAGTTGAACGTTTAATTTTTCAACGTGTGTGGTTCTATGATGATCTACATTTTTTAAGGACTTGACGTTTTGACTGATGATGAAGTAAAACTTCGAAACCGGTATCAATAAATATTTAAACAGCAAGTACAAGAAGTTATTTAATTATTTCTAATTAATCACCAATTTTAAATATTAACTAAGAGCTTGCAACATGGATTCAAATAAGATAAGATACTGTATTTATGTTTTAAAAAAAAATGTATCAGTTAATATTTCGTAAATAATTGAAATAGGCCATTTATGTTCATAAACATTTTGCTTTGGTTATTGGATTAGCTATCATATGTCAAAGTTTGATGGTGAGCTAATAAATCACCTTGTATTTTAGTTCCATTACAATAAATTGTTGGTCTATTTTACAGAACAACTATGTTCATAATTATAATTTTATTAAACTATTTTCTAACTTACCTCCAGTTCCATTTCCTGTTGGATCCCCAGTTTGGATCATAAATCCTTTAATAACCCTATGAAAGATATGCCCATTATAATAACCATTTTTCGAATGAACACAAAAATTCTCAACANTTGTGATTATTACGTTGTAGTCAAAACATTATTAAGAACATATCTTCAGTTTGGCCCCTAGTACTTGCTCTTTTAATCTGCTCCGTATGTTATAAATTACCCTGTATAAACCTTGGTTACTGAAATAAGAAATCAACAAGACATTTTAATTCGGCTGAAGAACTCTTTAATTCGTCCTTGTGAAGCATGTATTCTAGCAGAAGATATTTTTAACAATATTTGTAATATTTATGTTTAAAAAAATGTAGCAGTTAATTATGATATAAAAATGAAAACTTTAATGTGTTATAATTTCGTAAATAATTGAAATAGGGCATATGTTCATTAACATTTTGTTTTGGTAATTGGATTAGCTAATAAATCACCCTGTATTTTAGTTCCATTCAAATAAATTGTTGGTTTATTTTACCGTTTAATAAATAAAAGATGTTCATAATTATAATTTTATTAAACTATTTTCTAACTTACCTCCAGTTCCATTTCCTGTTGGATCCCCAGTTTGGATCATAAATCCTTTAATAACCCTATGAAAGATATGCCCATTATAATAACCATTTTTCGAATGAACACAAAAATTCTCAACACTTTTTGGCGTATCTTTTACAAACAATTTACAATGAATATCACCAAAAACAGTATGAATAACAGCCGTTTCATATAATCTTTGAGTGGCCGGTGTATCAGTAGCAGCAAAAGTATCTTCTTTCGACGGTTTCTCATTAAAAACATCGCGATCCTGACCAGAATTTTGCGGATCGTCCGGATCACGTTTCGTAAACATATAAAATCGATTCTTTTTATAACCGGTGCAAATCAAAGTTGGATCTGGTTTAATTGCATCCAAAGTGGGGTTATTTGAAGCTTCAATTTCTAATGTAACCGCAGCTTTATTTCTTTTCGCCGAACCTTGATACAAAGCGATGCGAAGTAATCGTAAGTTTTCGTTTTTTCCGATAATTTTAACGCATTTATTAGTGAATATATTAATGAGTTTAACACCTAAAAGTGTTGGATATAATAAAAAGTAACCGGTTGAATCAAATTCGATGTTGGATAAATGAAAATAATCGGATTTTTCTAAATCTCTTTCAACAGCCATTCGCCGACCAAATTCCATGTTTGGAAGTTGCTGGGTTTGTTGTTGAAGTTGAGTAAATCGCGGTAAAGTTTCGTCGTAAACTCGAATTAATTTACCTGTTAAAAAATTAAAAATTCTTACTTTACGGTCTGTCGAGATTGTTGCAAACTTTAATCCGTCTTTGCTAAATGATAAACCCGAAGGAAACGTTTTATTTTTTGCAAATTCAAACAAATCCGTATCTAATTTGGAATCAAATTTAACTTTTTTTGATGGAAAAACGAAATCGTTTCTCATCCCGGACCAATATTCTAAAATTCCATTCTTATCCACCGATATACAAACATCGAATTTTGGGTTAAAACGCATCAAAATGACGGGTTTTGTATGGATTTTTTCTATTATTTTAATCGCGTTCTTCATTTCTCGACTATCATAAACAAAAATTCTTTCCGATTCCGAATCGCTTACTGCTAAGGTTTCAACGGCATCACCTGATGTGTGAATGAACTCAACACAACCCGGGATATAGTCAACTTTTAACATATTAATCATATCGAAATTAACGACGTCAAAAATTTTTAAAGATTTATCGGACGAAGCTGAACATAATAGCGAGCCTTCTTCGTTTGCAGACATCGAGACAACAGGACCTAAGTGACCACGAAAATGTTTTACAAACTCTATACCGGTTTCGACTTTTTTCCAAAACTTTATATGACCATCGCAGCTTCCGGTTAAAATAAAATCCGTATTTGTAACAATGCAATGAGTTATAATGTCACGGTGCATAAAACTTTTCTCATAGAATTCGGCCGTTGGCAAGTTTTCCAGATAAAGTGCTTCATGAGGAAGGATTTTTTGCTTTTTTATTGGGGGTTGAGCTGTTTCATCCTCACTTGAATCTTCACTTTGAGATTGTTTTTCTTTTTCTTCACTCATGGTTATTATTAAGTACTAAAACAAATACATCAAATACAATAAACATTTTTACCATTTAGAATAGTTATAAATTAGAAAATAAAACAAACCTTTAATAAGACTGGACGAACTTAACCTCACTTTTATAAATCATAACAAGATGTCAAAATTTGGTTGTATAAATTAAAGTGAAGTTAGCAACGAGTTTTTCTGTAGTGTAGAAAAGGTTGCATATCTCTGAAAATACAGATTAATTTTTTGTGGACGTTAATCCACTACATATTTTGTGAAAAAGTGTTAAATTTCAAAATATTGCATCTATTATATATAAATTCCATACTTGGAAGTTCTTTTACAATATTTCGANTCCGGCCATTTTTTTAAATCTGGCCGGATACCGGATAGATACCAAATATTCGGCGTTGGCCGAATATTAAAGACCTATTACCTTTGTTGGACACTGCAGATAATAATCAAGTTCAACTCCAATAGAACTTTTTTTCATTGAATACAACTTTATTTATATTAGGTTTGTTTTTAGCAACCTCATTGTAACACTTCCAATACGATATACAGGGCTTCCCAAAACTCCCGGGACGGAGCTATAAGTTTGGAACGAGTGCAGAAAAAAAATTGAAAATTTTGGGATCACTAAAGAGTCATAAAAACTACATTCTTAGATAGTTTAGAACTTCCATGCAATATGGAGTATTTTTAGGGGATGACCACCCCTACATTTTTAAATAGCAATCCCTGTCGAGATTCACCTTATTTTAAAGGTAATGAAAAAAGAAACACAACCCCATAAACCAAAACCCGATATCTTAATTCTTTCAAGAATTATGAGGAAACGGAAAAATAAAATATTTTCATGTTTTTTTGCACGTTCTTTACGATTTTTATAACAAATGTTCAAATTGTCGACCTTCTTCGATCTCGCAATGACTCAAACGCTCATAAATGGGATTTTGACCCATCAGGAGCATATCCCTAGTGATATTGGTGGTTTCTTCAAGTATGTGATTTTCGACCATTAAAAGAAAGAGTGATTCTTTCTTTTTCGGTCATTTTGCGCCATTTTTACAGTTATTAAGTAAATATTAAAAGAAGATAAGTAGACTTAAATATGATAAGAGAGATGTTGTGGCGCAGATGTTATTTTTTGACAGTGACAGTAGTTAAAACAAACTTGTTTTATAAAATTTGCTTTTATTAACTCTAAAAATGTCGTAATAAGTGACCGAAAAAAGAAAGAATCACTCTTTTAATGATTCGTGGTTTTGGGGATAGAACAAGATTTTACGATCAAGTGCGGCACGTCTTCAATAATTTTGTCATCAACGACCGAAATCTGCAACAACTCCGGAAAAAACAGAAAGGTGTTACTGTCTTTTATTGAAGAACCTTCAACTTCCTTATTAAACGCGTCTCAGGTACATGAAATTGGTAAAAGTTCTGTCCACAGTATTTTGAAAAGAAATAACTATTTCCCCTATAAGTTTCACCTAGTTCAGGAATGGAACGAAGGTGACTTCGAAAGAAGGTTGAAATTCTGTGAAATAGTACGTGAAAAATGCGATGCTGACAGAAATTTTCTTTTGAATGTTTTTTTCTCTGATGAGGCTACTTTCTACTTGAATAGTAAGGTTAATAGACACAATTGTCATTATTGGAGTGACGGAAATCCACGTCTAAATAAGAGAAGATCATACTCAGGAACCACAGAAAATCTATGTATGGTCTAGTATTATGGAAGAGAATGTAATTGGTCCATTTTTTATTAATGAAAATTTGATGGTGCAAGATGGTGCTCCTCCACATTTTAGTCGCGCAGTTCGCAACTTGTTAAGCAGCACGTTTCCAAACCGTTGGATTGGTAGAAGAGGTGAAATTGAGTGACCACTCTTTTGGGGGTTTCTGAAAAGTACAGTGTATGTAACAAAACCAAAACCAATAAATGATTTGGAAAATAGCATACTTGAAGAAATTACCAATATCGCTACTTAGGGATATGCTCCTGATGGTTCAAAATTCCAGTTAAGAGCGTTTTGGTCATTGCGAGACCGAAGAAGGTCGATAATTTGAACATTTGTTATAAAAATCGTAATAAACGTGCAAAAAACATGAAAACATTTTATTTTCCCATTTTTAGTCAACCCCTCATAAATTTTGAAAGAATTAAAATATCGAGATATCTTATGGGATTGTGTTTTTTTTTTTCATAACCTTTATAATAATGTAAAACTCGACAGTGGTTGCTATTTAAAAATGTACTGGTAGTCATCCTCTAAAAAAACTCCACATTACATGGAAGTTCTAAACTATCTAATAATGTAGTTTTTATGGCTTTTTAGTGATCCCCAAATTTTCAAATTTTTTTCTTCACTCGTTTAAAACTTACCTCTCTACGTCCCGGGAGTTTTGGGAAGTCCTGTATAAAATGTCTTGTTGCAGTTTCGTCTAGTTACCGTCTCTTCGCTGTTATCAATTTTGATTATTAATTAAAGTATCCTCTCCTTAATGCAAAAAACCGTTTTGAAAAATTACTTTTACTTCTTGAGAAATAATTTTTTTAAATAATCGACATTTTTAAAATTAAATTTTAATAATTCGTATAAAATCCAGTTCTTGGAATATGAATATGAAAATTTCCCAAAGTGTTAATAAAAGTGTCCTCTTTCCAATGAACTAACCTGTCTTGAAAAATAACTTTCAGTTTTTGAGAGAACAATATTTGAAATTTTGATAAAATTTTCGATGTTGCAATTTTCATCGATTATTATTGTTATTATTATAACCTTTATTGTTTTCCGTATAATTCACACAAAAAAAAATAAAAATCAAAATAGTTTAAATCAAATAAGTATAACTAAATAATTAAGGGAACAATATTAAAGGTAATATCCCAGCATTCACTGGGAATACACCACTAATTCTGTCGAACAGAATTATGAGTGGTTTTTCGAAAAATTTACAATAATTAGTGACCTATAGGCTTTACAATTTACTTACCTCAGGTATTGTAGTACAGTCATATTTATCTATAAGTAGCAATTAAAAGAAATTGAAGAAAACGCTTACAAATGGAAAATAAGACAAAATAATTACAGGGAATGCTATTGTAAAATATCACTTAATTTGCCAATATTCGTTAAGGTTTTTAACCATTCTCTCACAACAAAGTTGGTGTTTCTCGAGCTCATAGACTGGTAATGTACTGATATAAAACTCTTGTACAAGTTATATATTTTTGGTGCATAGAAGATGAAGCACTTTTGGCCGATCGCTTTAGAAACCCTTGCCGGTTGAATGTCCATACGAACCTTCGATCTAGTATGGTGCCCATGATCAACACTCCGCATAGTGGCCGGTGATTTTAATACATACTGTAGAATAGATTGGATATAAATTATGTATACTGACATGACATTCGATTTCTGAAAGACCTCATTCGAGGGGAACCTCACACCCACATTAAGCAGAACCTTTAATATTAGCTTTTGCAATGTATATATTTTGCCAATGTAAATGTTTGAAGACCCTCCCCAACCAATAATACCATATCTCATAACTGATTCAGCCATCGCAAAATAGTATGATCTTAAAAATGTGCGTGAGACATGTGGCGATAATTTTTTCATTAAGAACATCACCGATCTTAATTTTTTACAGACAATGTCGACGTGCTCATCCCACCTACAATTCTGATCCAGTGTCACACCAAGATGTCTTACAGACCTTACTTTATGAATCTTCGGACAATGGCAATCAATTGACTGACATGAATGAGCATGCATCACAATAACGTCCACCGACGGTTGTGTACTATTGTATGTAGAGAAAGTTATAAAGTTCGTTTTTGCTAAGTTAAGGGTTAGTTTATTGCTTTCAAGCCATCTTAGCAAAATCCTCAAGTCAGCAGTGGCCAATAAAAATAAGTTTCGTATCGTCAGCATAAGATATCAGTTTACTACTCAAATTGAGCACCAACAGGTCATTAATATAAATAAGAAATAACATTGGGCCAAGAACCGTGCCCTGAGGAACGCCGCAAGTTAAATTTCCCGGTAAACTAAAACAGGCATTTACTCTTATTTTCTGTGATCGATTGTGTAGGTAAGACTCGAATAATTCGAGGGGCAATCCTCTAACTCCGTAATGTTCAAGTTTGGCTAGTAGTATTTTATGATCAACTGTGTCAAATACCATCCGCAAGTCCAAGAACACTGCCATAGTACATAATGAGTCATCAAGGCCATGATATATGTATTTTGATAATTCCGCGATAGCCGATGAAGCACTTCTACCCTCCCTGAAACCAAACTGAGATTCAGATAAAATATTGTGCTTCAC